AAGACAAAAATATATATTTGAAGAAATACTCGCGAACGGTTAACGGCATACAGATTTTTGAATATTTAAAAACATGGGGAAAAGGCGCGTAACCATCTTTTCTCCACATTTTTCCCTCATTAACCGTTCCCGAGGTTTTCGTGTTCTTAGTGTCTTATAAAGATCAGTTGTTTTACAACATCAATTTTATTTTTTTTTCCTCCGGAGCCTGACAATAAAACAATACTACAATAATACTTAAATTCTTAACAAAACTATGCTAATTATAATAGGGCCTATCGTAACTTTATTTTTACAGCTTGATATTTGACTTAACCTTGCCAAATTGCAAGTTTTCATCAACTCAGTTGTAGGGCACTTTTAATGAATGCATCTGGAATAACTTCTTCTGAGTGAATAATAATTAGTTGAGTTTGAGATAACATGATTTTCTTCATCTGGATTTTAGATGAGATACCGTAATAACATAGGCCTATGTGGACAGAGTTTAACGATGGTGTCGTTCGGATTGTTACTTTTGCGTCATCACTTTTGCGTATTCACGCGTTTATCGACTTGTCGAGATTTCACGGCGATTTACTTGACCTAAATACAATGAAAAGGGCAAAAGTCGTGCCGTTTTTCTCTCTGTTATATTTAATTCATTTCCATCCTTTGAGTGTATACGAAGAAGAATTCTCCCACTGAGTATGTTGATTCAGTAGACATCCAAAACAAATATCTAGACAGAATGGGCATGCCAATCAAAGTATGGGTCCGTAGTTTCTTAGGATACCGTACGTAGTCCTGTAAAGATCGCGACAGGACATTTCATTTATATTGGCGAAGGACAACAAGGGTATGACTGGGAAATATTTTGATATAGTAAACCATGTGTCAAGCGAACATATTTTTTCGCACAGTGTTATTAGCCCTAAATTCTGAAGCTATAGGCCTAAACAGATTGTGTTATCAGAATAATTCAGGATTTTTCGAAATCACAGGGAAAACATGTAGGCCTTCGTCACAATATAGTATTAAGGTGGTTACTCCACCATTTGCAACGACTGTTGCTAAAGGCAAACGTACTTTAAGTAATTTACATATGCCCACGTTACACGTTTATCAAACCCCCAACATTCGCTCTAGGGCCTACGCCCTTACCATAGGTTTACTTAAGCCTAATTGAGAACTATAAAAAACAAAACAAGAGGATCGTTTATTGGAAAGAAATCTACATTTCTTAAAACCTTGTTGATCATCGTCTAAGTCATAACAACCCCTCGGCGGATTATCCAACCAACTATAGGTGGCTGCACGTCACACCTGAGGACCCATCTGACATAAAATCTGTGCTGCAGGAAGATCCTCCACCAATATTACATGAAAAAGATTGAGTGTATTGAACCCTTTTCTGTATATTGCTGACATGTAGGGGAAAAAAACTTAGGTTGTTGAGACAGACTATTATATGATCATACAAATATTTTTAAAAACGTTAAACGCAATCGGTGGTGTTAAACAGTGTTTACAGTGCACCAAAAATGTTTAAACAGAAGTGCTATGCTCAATGCTTGAAGAAATCTAATACTGTACCTTATTTGTTTGTTTATATTATTTATAAAGTACTTATAACTACTGTAACATACAACTTAATAAACATGTAACTTGACCTTACAAAAATCGTTTCTCTATCGCTACAAGGTTTCCATAAAGTAAAAAAACATTGACCGATCGTAAAACTAGTTGTCAGTAATATTGTTCCGCCAATTTTTCAATATAAGAAATGTCTTTTTTATTCACACTAGTAATAAATTGAACACATTTTTAGAATGTTGCACTCTTGTTGAACCATGCAGATACAAGTGGAACTGCATCTGTCAAAAAGGCAAACGGATTTAATTATGGCTAGATATTCGGCATTACACAAAGTTATCCCTTTTTCACTACGGTAACAAACTGTGGCCAGTCCTTTCTTCATTCTCCCCTATAGTAAATTTAAGTAAGAACTTCACTCATAATTACACCTCAGAGAACCGGGATACGATGTAGAAATTGTAACCGTCTTGCGGTAATGCAGTGATATAAGTTTTGAACGCTAAAGAAGAGGAACCTGCGATTGTGCCTTAACCGGGATTTGAACCGGGGAACATATGCTGTCTAGGTATTCATATGCCTATGTCAATAGGCATAAATACATAATAACCATATTCGACAATGCATCTCGGAGCAAGAACGTCCATATCATAGTGCCAGATCCTATTAGATTGTATAGAGTGCCGTCCATCATTCTTCATGGAGCTATAAAATCTAATTTTGTAGCTCCATGGAACTACACTACATTATTAAAAATAACGTCTCATATTGGTAGAATGATTTAAGATTCATAACATCTATCGTGTCACATGTCATTGGCATTGGCATTGACTCGATCGGTGGATGGTACATTAAGGAAACATTAAGCAGTGGAATGTTCATTCCTAGTAGGCCCTACGTGCTACTTAAAATGTTATCAAATTTCAAGCACTGGAGATAATTTACTGTCGCTCTATGCTATGCTTTATTCATATAGAATATATACAAGGAAGATAAGTTTTACATTATCTCCCTTTCTTTAAATAGCCTTACAGTCTACAATATACAATGTAAAAATGTCAAGTACGGTACTTTGAATTTCCTCTCGTCTGTTGTTTACTAAATATTGGTATAATTCTTGTCTTTTTGAAGATTTCAATAAACTCTAGTAGGCATATATATATATATATATATACAGTATATATATATATATATATATAAAAGCCTATATATATATATATATATTTATATATATATATATATTGAAATCCTTCCAACTAACAATATACCGTTAACAAGCATTTCGAATAACGTGGATTTCCTCTAGGCAGTCAGTTGAAGAGGAAAAGATATGACATGAAATATGATATAAAACCAATTATCGGTAGCAAATAGCCTATTTAAGCTAAGATTGCAATCAGAAAACGAACGAAGCTACTACTACTACCAGTCAATTAAATATGATTACAAAGATATGCATGACGTCATACTGGGTTGGATAACAATCGCAATCTCAAATAATAATTATATAAAGTGATGGACCCAAACATAGTCCTTAGTAGGCTAACAATAACGTATTGTCATCGTATATCAAACGTGTCAAATCGTAATGTCGGAAAATTGGGTGTAAGTATTTTTTTCTTCCTCCGTTGCGCATGAATTCCGGTCTTTTATTGTCGGATGAATTCCTCAGTTAAAAAGTTATATATTAACCGTCATGTTATTGAACAAGCCTTGTAGTAGGCCTACTATGTTTGTTTGTAGTTTGGACATACAGTAAGCATTAACTTGTTTGAATGAGTACCGATGATAAAGATGGTGGTGGTGGTGGTGGTGATGATGACGATGACAGATGATGGTAATGATAATGATAATAATTATGATGATAATGAAGGATGATTGATGAGGATGATAACAATGCCGAGGATGATATTAACGATACGATGACTGAAGAATGATGATAAAGATAACGATGTTGATGATAATGAGATTAATGGTTTTGATAATGATGAGGATAATAATTCTAACAATAGTATAATAATAATATCAATATGCATAATTAAATTAAATGGAATTTACATCGGTAGCAGTCACACTTAAGAATAACAACAACTAACTATTAACAGCTTAAACTATTAAAAAACCACTTAAGCCATCATAACGAAAAGTAATAATTGATTTAAAAGTAACAATTGACTGGTTTTTATATCAGACTATTTATCCCGTGCTAATTCAACTATATCTTTACAGAATTTATCAAATGCTGGTATAGCACTATTAAGCTCAAGGTCATGTTTTAAAGTGGGTAATCCTGCCACCCTAATGATCCAGTGGTACATTTCAATTTCAATTTCACCGCTTTGACACAGGGTAACAGCAACTTTTAGTGACCAGTTATTTCTTTCCACCATTTTACATGTTCCGACATCTTAATTGTTTTTGAGGTCTGCTATGCATTAAGTGTTGCTCTATATTTATAGCGTCCACAACTACTTCATCTGGCTATAAATCCCATATGAACCTAGCTATCGGGTGTGTAATATTGGTCTATGGCATAGCTGGGCATAGTGATGGAATTTATGAGATTATCGAACTCGATGACCTTCTTAAATACTTCTGATTGACGATCTACAGACCATAAAACAAATTGTAACTACAGAGGGCGCATTAGTAAGATGATGGCGTATAGCATAGTTCCTAAGAGAGGTTTTGCAAGCTTACGAAAACGTTACGTCATCATTTTAAGTAAATTCACCTCATACAGTAGCATATGTCATAACGTAGACGGCTTCTAAATGAATCAACGACATACAACTCACATAATATGTATTGTTAAGAATGTAAGGCTGGAATGACGATAATGAAGATGACGTTATCGTTTTTGTAAGGTTGCGAAATCTTCCTAATAACAGTCTAAGAAACAAGGGCGTCTTAAGTTTCTATTACCAAGTAATAACAATTCGAATCAATATGCTTTACAGCCGTCAAGATGGCAGCCGCCGATGGTGATTGAAACATCAGAAATATGCCCTATGTACAGTGTTTTTAAGTGTATCGCTATCCCAGTTCATAAACGATGAGAACTTTCTGTATTCCGACAAAACAACATTAAAAGGTTTTAAGTTTTGACCTGACCGACGCCTGCATTTGTGTTTATTGAGGAGTTTATTTTACCTCGATGTTGGTGAATTTAAGTAGATATCTAACGTGTAAATATTTATACGTTATTTCGTTTTGTATTCTTTACACGAGAAGTACGTTCATGTTAAGACACCGTAATAAGATCCATATGCTATAGCCATTGACGTTTACGGTATTGTTGAATAGTTTGAAACGCATCTACAAAACAAACGCCATCTATCATAAAGCATACATAAATTTTTTATGTAAACATTAAACGAAACTTTTAACTACCTGCTTTCATTTTTTTTTCTTTTTATATTAAGGAAAATGGGGAACTCGACAGCTTTCACTATTGCATTATCTGTCTTCGTACTTCTAAATGTTGCGACAAAAACATACAGCAGGACACGGTCGAAAGAGGGACCTGTTGACACTAGGAACGGAGGAAAATTGACAGAAGAGGAAGATAAGATACGTTTTTTCAACCCAGTAGATATACCAAGTCCATTTCGTTTGTATGATTTGAATAAAGACGGTGTTGTTACACTGGCAGAATTAGCGAAGGCGACAGATACCACGCTCGAGGATGCAAGAGGTCCTTTCCGAAGTGCGGACTCCAATAGTGCGTAACATTTTGTAATTGTGTTGGGTTAAACTCTGTCCATACTATGAAATGTTATGTGACACATTTATGTGATGTGCCCACATGGGCGTGATGATGTCATATCATACCCTAATGTGGTCAAATCACAGTTTTATGTCACATAAAATTTGATAATGGGAACAAAGCTTTACATTATAAAGTATAGTCTTCTATCCTTTCATTGATAGACATTAAAAAAATGAAATATTAAATCGTGAAACATGAACATGTTATCAAGAGACGAATGCAGTCATTGCTAACTGAATATATAGAACGCCCTCACGGTCTCGCGAAGTGATCTGCTGTGTTGATGAGCTACTTTATGTTCTGCTTTAAAATATAAAAAATATTATTCCATTTTATGTTAGCTAACTCCAAAATTTAATTTTCGAAATTAATCAATTGCATTTCTGTAACAGGCTCCGGAGGAAAAGAAATGTTTGATATATTGTACAACTGATTTTTTCTAGGACACAAAATCGTGTATGACGAGAAACTCAGAAACGGTTAATGAGATACATATTTTTGAATATTTAAAAACAGGGGAAAAAGGGGTTTTCCGCAAGTATTTAAATATTAAAATATCTGTTTCTCATTAACCGATGCCGAGGTTTTCGTTAAACAACCCTTGTTCTGTCTGAGAAAAATCAGTTGTACAAAATATCAAAACATTTTTTTTCCTCCGGAGCCTGCCTTTAACATGTTCTTCTTCCTTTAAGTTTCCGCCTTTATCTTATTGAAGATTCTGCAACTGTACATGCTTCATGATTGCTTGATTCGTTTGGTCTATTTGATTATTTTATATGTATGGACGCATCGTAGTCCTGGTGTGTACCTCCACTGATTGCAAAGTGAGAGCTTTAAGCCCTGTTCAGACTATGAAATTGTATTTGACAAAACATGCGACATGCCTAAATGATGATGGCATCACATCATGACCATATATAGGCACATCCTGACTAAATATGGGCATACAACAGTTTTTGTAAAAGAAAATTTGATACTCTGGATAATAAGAAATCTTAAGTATCGAAACGAATGATCAAACCTCAACGAGGAGAATGCGTTGATTAGGCGAAATTTGGCAAGTGCGCCACCTTACGATGACTATGGCGTAGCTCTATTGAAACTCAAATGTTCGATACAGTATTCTGAAGCATTTAATTCATTTATTAAAAATTATTATTGCTTTTACAGGTGATAAGAAACTAAGCTATAAGGAGTTTTTGAGGGCACCGTGGATATTCCGTGCGGAGGATGTGATTGATGAAGAATCTTGGTCGTTCGTTGAAACTGGACTTAAATAAGTAGGTCTAGATGACTTGCGTGGCATCAAACGACCAATCTGGAATGAAATAATATGACTTAACACACAACACATAATATTATACGTAAAATGCTACTGTATATATCTTTAACTTGAAGGCTTTTCTCCTGCTTGGTAACCCCGGAAAACAAACAATCTATATTTTTCTAACCAATATTTTTCTTATTCTTCCCATCAGTGAAGAGTCGTTTCTCATTGACTTACAGATACAAACATATAAGTTACTATGAATATTATGTCTAACACAATGAAGAAAGCAGTAATTGGAGTGAGCCAATATGTGACAAGTTCCTATATTTGAAAACAAGTAAACAACATGACAATTTCGTATAGAAATGCAACATTGGAATTAATTAGGAAAGGCACATATTTGATGTATAACGTATTTCTTTTATGTACTATTTTAAGCTTAATAGTTAAGTGTACTTACTTCTCGTGTAAAGTGCTGTCCCTTTTAAAATAAATTAATACAGTAATGCTTAGACTTATGAATATTTTACCTCTTATAGTTAAAACTGTTATAATAATTTTTCAATTAAACAGACAATAGGGTTGATCATATGTGCAGCGGTGGCGCCAGGATTTGCCCGACGGGGGGGGGGGGCGAGAGGTTCGACCCCCAGCCGGGGGTCAGATTCCCCTTTCCCCAACGAAAGCAAAGTGGGCGTGGTCGAGCTTCGATTGAAAGGTTTCGAAAGTGGTCCAGGGGCGAAGACCCGAAAATGTTGACAATTTAGGGGTTTCAAAGGCTTATTTAATCGATTTTAGAGTCTATTAATATGTAGAAAATATTTATATTTTCTTTTTCTCCCCAACCGACAAGGGACCCTGCACCCCCCCCCCCCCAGAGCCATATATATAAAGAGTTGCGACATTCTTGGTTTGCGAAAGTCACGTGGTACACACCGTCCATTTTGTGTCATGATCTTCCCGATGAACACATGCAAAGTATATGAGTTACGTACACTGCATATTCATTTCACCCACTTAATTGGGTTTACAATTATATTATTTTATAATTAACATCACTTAGTATGGACAGCGTATTAGAATTCATATATAATCGAATATTTGCGCGCGTGCGTGCTCGGGTAAATTCCGTGCTCGCGTAAATTATTGGAATTAATTGGATTTTTTTTCATTTATCGTTAATTCGTCACATTTTAATCAAGTTTTAATTAACGAAGACTGAAGACCCGACGTATTTTAATTAATTGTAATCTTTTCTTTTGTTTTAATTGTTTATAATCTTTTCTTTTGTTTTAATTGTTTATAATATATATATATATATATTTATTTATTTAAATTGCGAGACCTATCTCCTGGCCTAGGCCTATATATGGTAATTATACATTATAGGCCAAATCAACATTTGTATATTATAGGCGAGCTATTACCGTACGTTACAACTAAAAATTGAATTAAAAAATATATATATATATATATATATTATAGATAAATCTAACGGAGAGTTAAATAGGCAATTTAACCATTAGGATGCGTACCACTACTTAAGTACAAATAGTGTGAATGTCACTCCAAAAATAACATGGCAATTTTATAATTACTATAACATTATTTTGGAAACGACGCTTTTAAAACAGCAGACACGCTCTAGCAGTGTGTTCATACACATCT